TTAACATTTGGGTAGTTATGTTTTTTTCTAAGATTTTACTATTTATTTATTTATTTAAACAAGAGCTGGAATTTTCCTTTGTTTTTTATTTGGTTTTGACAAATTAATAAAAAAAAAAAAAGGAAAAATTTGAGTTTGTTATAAAATATAATCTTTTTTTTCACTATTCTGCTGAATCAACTTATGATGACTAAGGTTTTGTCACACTTACGCTACAAACAACAAAAGAAAAGGAGAAAAAAAAACTCAAATTCATGCAATTATGATCATTTTTCTATACATTGAACCTAATCGTGCAAATTAATTAGAATCTTGATTGCATATATTTCTTATTGATTTTTTTTTTTTATATATATTTTTAAATTAGAGAAGGTGAAGTGTGACTATATGCATTAATTTGCTCTAATTTTAGCCCATGTTTATCTCTCATTTTTAAAATTTTTTTTCTACATATTCATTTACAACCACAAAATAAAATATTTTATACGTAAATCCAAAATATTTTCATACTTTTTAACTACACATTCTTCATCAATTCACTATTCAAGTAAGAATGTTCTTCGATTTATGTTATTTTCTCTGTTCTCTTTATTCACAAATTAGTACATGTTTTTTTTTTCCCCTCAAAATATATAAAATCAATGTCGAGTACAGGGACTATGGGTTGTGAGGATTTCAATATCTAATATATAACTTTTTAGTAAAGGTTTGAAAAGCATCACGAATGGTGGCTGTAGTTTAGTGGTAAGAATTCCACGTTGTGGCCGTGGAGACCTGGGCTCGAATCCTAGCAGCCACATCTTCTTTTTATATTTTTCGTTCTCTATTTCCAATTGCAATTTAGAGAGTCAAAATGGTGATTATCAATCCAGTGCTTTCACTTAGACGAGCTTCATTTATTGGGCTTGCCCAAATATATCATTCTTTGAGTGGGCACTTGCAATAGATCATGGTTAAATATAACGTCACAATTTTTATACAATTTGATCACAAATTATCAAATTAATTGGTTACAAATAAATTCTCAATCACAATTAAAAATTTTGTAGCCCACAAATTATTTCACGATCACAAATTTATCAAATTAATAGTCACATATTATTTATTGGCCATAGATCCAAATTAAGTCAACTTATTTCATGGTCACAAAATATCAAATTATATTTAGGTGACAATTTATCAAATTATTGGTTACAAATTAATAATTTGTCGGCCACACAGTATTTATCGATCACAATTTATCAATTTCATTAGTCACATATTGTTTATTGATCACACACCAATCAATTCATTAGTCACAATCAACCAAATCATTTGTGATCGCTGCCAACGCTTGTGACCATTGCCAGCAACCGAAACTCTCGTCGTCGAACCACCACCACCTCTCGGCAGCAAAATTGTAGCCAACATCACCACCACCACCACCACCACACCAAACCGTCAATATTACCACCACTACCCAAACACCATTAAAATCACAGGACAACCACCACCACCCATCCAACAAAAAAAATAAAAATCATTACCACCATCACGATGTACATTGTTGTGGCTACCATGTGAGCCGCTAAAGGTGCGATCTATCACCACTCCCACAATATACCACCACCGCCCCACCCACAACACACCACTATCTCCTCTATCTCCATTTACACCACACCCAACCACCATCCCACCAAAAAATCAACAAACTCGCGCTATCACCACCACCATAGTACACTATCACCGCCCACACCACCAACACCTCACAGCAAAAAAATGTCGAAAAATAACCACAAAAACCACTGCACAACGTTGCAAAATCACAACAGAAGAAACCACATCGAAGCGACTGAGCAACAGTCACGTGTTGCTTTGCACGACGCTAGTGTGGGACTGCGTCAATAGAAAATGGAGGGGAGGAGGGAGAGCAACGACAATACCATCATAGGTTCCACTTCGAACAGCGCGAAGCGAATGGTGGCGCCAACGGTACTGGTGGCAGCGAAGGGTGGTGACGGCGATGACAGAGGATGGCTAGAGAAAAGGTGTGATAGAGAGAGAAGAAAGAAAATGAAGATGATGAAATAATTAGGGTTTTGGTGCATATGATTGAGTTGAATGAATATGTATATTTAAATTTGNAAAAAGAAGAGAGAAAATTGAGAGAATGAAATAGTTAGGGTTTTGGTGTGTATGGTTGGGTAAAATGAATATGTATATTTAAATTTGTAATATAATTATTAAAATTTTAATCATCATCTGATTTTTGAAATAAAAACTTGTAAATCTAATTTTGAAATGGGAAGTTTAAAACCGACTCCCTCACATTTTCGACATATTTGTTTTGACCCCTGAATTTTTCAATATTTGCACCAAAACCTTTACTTCAGAATACTGTTTCAAGCACAAAATGGATCTTAATCTAACTTTTACATGTGTATTATATAAAAATAGATCGCAAAATACAAAATACGTTCTACATAATGATATAATTTTAAAAAAAATAAAAAATCACACAAGAAAAGCAACTTTCTTAGAAACTAATTTACCCTTTACGAAACATTGTAACGTTGTACCAGCTGAAAACGTAGTCTTCATTTTTATTCCTTCGTATCATCCAGACTAGCCATGAATGACAGAAGCATTACATCATTTAAGGAAAAATTAAGCTTCAATGATAATAGCATCAAATAATGTAATTAACCGAATGTGACTTGGCGATCAAAATCCCTTGCAAAGAAGGATTTAAGCGACACATGGGTAGAGAGAAAGCAAAGTACATATATAAAATACCAGCACTGAGTGGCCATGGAAATTAAAAGGTGCCTCATTTAAAATCGGGCTTCTCGGGGTACGTGCACCCGGACCTCTGGATAATGACATTTGATGCATAACAACCTGCTTTTACACAATCTTCAATGGGTTTTTCTTGAACCAACTGAGACAGAAATCCCCCAACAAAAGCGTCCCCTGAAACAAATGTAAATTTGCAAAGTAATCAGATTCACTCACATCGATCAGGTATAAATGCTGAGATCTGACCCGAGGTAACGTCAGTAGCTGGTCCAAAAAGAGGTGTGAGTGTGACGAAATCTGTAAGTCTATTCCTTCATTTAAACAATAAAGCTGCTTAAAGGAACCCTCCCATTGTAGGAAATTTTTTTCGAACCATGTACATAATCTTTTCATGAATGTCAGAATGTGTGATTAGTGCTCAGAAAATACTAACATAATGCAATATTTTCCTTCCTTCATTGTCTTCTGAAAACAGTGGGATATTCTATAATAAAGAATATGAAATCACATACCTGCACCATTTGTATCAACGAGTTTCTCCTTCGGCAACGGAATTACAGGGAACAACTTCACTTTCCCATCCTCTGCAACAACAACTGGATCTGCACCCTGAGTAATAACAGTAATTCTTTTGTGTGTTCCAGATGCCTTTGGCCACTGAGAGATTTTCAAAGCTATTTCCTCAACATTTTCAGTCTGGTCATTAACAGCAACCAATTGTTAAGTACATTATAAAGGAACATGTTACTTTGTCAGCAGATCTCATGCAAAGTCACCTTTACCTTCCAGCCATGAACTTTGGAGAAAGTTCGTGCTTCCGTTTCATTTCCAAAAACAAAGTCCATATACCTAAAGCCAAAGCACAAGCGCTTGATAAACAGCTCTAAGTCACATTCAATACTTATTTGGAAGAAAAAGACATTCGCCTTACGGTAATGCTTTCTCTTGCACATCCTTGAAGAACTCACAGATAAATGGTGCAGAAAGGTTCATCATGAAAACCTGCAGACACATGAATGTTTAAGAGGCAAAAGAAGTTTCATCAGAAGCTGCTGTTTAGCCAGAAATTAGGCGAATTAGTGTCTAATTTCCAACCTTGTTGTTTGCAGCTGCATGCTCAGCAACAAGCATGATGGACTCTGGGGAAACTGTGAGGAAAAATCCAGCAATGTAGAAGTACTTGGCCTTTTCAACTGTCAAAATATAGACAAGTTAATTGGTTTGCTAAAAGGGCTAATTGCAATTTACCTCTATGAAGTTCCGACAATGTGTTGTTTCACCCCCTTGTAGTTGGGAAATAATCTATTGATCTCTTTTGGTTTCCAAAACTCTGCTGATCATCCTCTTTCCATTAAGTTGGTTCAACAGCATTAGTTCTTTCTTAATTAATATAAAATGACCAATGATCCTCTGACTAGGCAGTGGTGCTATTTTTGTATTAAGAAAGATACAATAGTTATTTCATAAGATAGAAGTATTAACACAAAACCAATTTCATGGAGGGGGGTGCAAAAATCAGCAAGGTTTTGAATAACACAAGGGGTTATTTGACTACTTCCGAACCACAAGGGAGAAATTGACACAATATCAGAGCAATGAGAAGGGGTTTCCAATTGCAATTTTATCCTCCACAAAGTGCATGACTCAGGCCAAAAGTAAACAATCTTAAGTAGGCATACCCAATGCCCAATTTTCTGGTTTCTTCAAATGATCAGATTTGTAACAATTTGCTGCTGACAAATTGGCCACGAGTGATCTGCAAATACATATACCATAATATGTCAATCCAGTATTCTCAGTCATTTGAAGTGTTACTTGTTTGAGGCCACATCGGAGGTTTTGGACTTTGTCCCAGTGATTTGAGCTTTCCTACTTCGAGTAGATTTTGGGTCATGAAAGCTTGAAGGCCTTGATTGTTCAAGAAAAAGTAACAGAACTATATTTTAGTCCAAAATTTTCTGGTTTGCTGAGAATTGAGTCTAAAGCACTAGTCTGGACATGGAGCGCTACTATCAACTGAACTAATATTCCTTTGATCTTTCAATCATTTTTATTAACTATTTGGTTAAAACATGTTCGGTGTTCCCTTACAATGGCTGAAACATCTGGGTATAAATTCTTCAGAAAAATCAAACATACAATTTTTAATGCATGAGAAACAATGGGATATTATTGTTTGTTTTTTGTTTTATAACCAATCATATTATATTGAAAACACTATGATTTAAATTTTCCAACAATCGAAAAATTACAAAAGTCCAATTTTTCAGTGCATTGGAGGATATGGGTTAATAAAAACTAAAGACAAGTTTACTTAACCACATTGCAGACAGAGAAAAGAAAAACTTAAGCAACAGCCAGGATACTGACCTTTCGCCACCGACTACACATACTGCGCAAGTACCAGTGGGAGACTCATCTTCATAGTAATGAACCTAATGAAGCCATGAGCATGAGATAAAAAGTATTATTATCTCTATTATAGAAATTGTTATTGTTCTGGGCTTTTACTCTTATAAATCTAGAAGAAAGAAAAGGTAATGAATAAAAGATAACACAATGATGTTGTCATGACTTGTGATAATGATGATAACAATGGTGTTTACACTCTTGAATAGTGAATATACTACGGGTATAATTTGGTCAAAGTCATGGTAATTTTTTTTTTTCGTTGACAATGAAAATCACAGTAATGTTGATGGTTACGTCAATGATGGGAAGGCTAAAATGTGCAAACAAATAACTTACATTAACACCAGCTTCTTTGGCATTTTTCTTCATCTCCTCGCCATACTTATCCTTTCCAATGGAGCCTATGTAACTGGTTGCACCGGGAATTTGTAGCATCCACTGCAAAAGGCAATATGGATTTTGTTCTTTCATGTAAAAATTTTAAGTATAGAATTAAAAAGAGTTTTAGAGCCAGAAAGAAATGCCAGATGTACCTGAGCAACTCTGATTGAATTCTGTGTAGCACCTGCATTACCATATTATAAAAATCTTCAATAATGCTCACTAGTATATTGATAGAGAAGGTCATATAAACCATTTTTATGAATTCAACTTCAGTATGAAAAAGTACCTCCAGCAATGTAGTCCACACTGTATTTAGATGACATTTCATCATACCTGAGACATGCATGGAGTTCTTTCAGTGCTAATCAAGCAACCACTCTTTTTGATGAAAACGCAAAATCTCCTTTTTATTCTTGATAAATCTTGAACATTTTTTTCTTATTAATGAAATTACATTATTATTCTCCCAGTAATTTTTTAGGACTTATTCATCTCAATTGAAGTTAAATATTAATAAACCTAACTTCAGATCAATAAGGAGAAAGTCAACTTTAAAACAGCCTACCTACTAGGTAAAATCTCCTCTAATGAGATAAAAAGAAACATTTTTTAACATGACAAATCGACAATAATAGGAACAACATTATAGGTGGATTGAAAGGTAAAATCTGAAAATTGAAGATATCGGACTTTTGCAACTTTAGTTCTACAAGAAAAGAACAATCAAAACACACTACCTACTAAAAAATGGAAACAAAAGACCGTTACGTAATAGGACAACAAGATGAAGATATTATAGGTTCAAATTGCAAGGCGAACATCTTGCGGCGGCACGGTCTTCCAGCTAGACCAACTCTCATCTAGGGTGACAAGAGAACCATGCACTAAAAAACTCTGATTAGCCTTATCTACTTCCCTGTTTCAGGGGGTCAATTTTCACTAGTTTCTACGAAAAAGCTTGGCCTAGTGAGATTTACAAAAAATAATTTTAATCACCAAATTAGACAGAGAACATTGCAGTAAGCCAGCTTACAAGTTAATATTTTACAATCCAGTATACATGGCCACTGTTATAACTAAATCAAAGCGTCATATATCATTAAAAGATCATTCTCAAATAGTTCGCAGAATCTGTGCCCAAGGAAAATTTTTCTTATATGCAAAGTTAAGTTTGGCAGCAAATTCTGGCAATCAAAATACTAGGTTGTGCTACCCAGTGCCTGCAATGAATTCATATTATGAACCAATAAATTATTCTTAACTGCAAATCAAGGAACTCTCTGCCTAAGCTTGATGTTCTCTATTTTATTCACTTCTTCACTTTACGAGAAGAGAATCCTCTACAAAGAGCTTTTGCAGTGACCAATATATAATCCACAAAAACTGCATTACGAAATGAATTTGCAATAATTTCATGATTTTTTCTTCTCTGGTGTTAATTTTCTCGTTTAAGCAGCTGGTTAGTAGCAGAATCAACGTTGAACTTCTAGATTTGGCTTGGCAACAATTAACACATTACTAAATTTCTAGTTAATTTACGCCCATGTTGGTTTAGATAAAAATCAGATTGTTAACGGATTTTGATATATGTAAATGGAATATGTGGTTGAATATTTGTGGTCCCATGAATGTGTATTAAAATTAATTATTGACTTTGACTTATATTTTAATTAACCTTTTTCGCTGAACTAAACATGGGCTGCATTAGTATTACTGCTATGAAATGCAAAAATGGCTCATTTATATCTTGTCATTGTAGAGTGACAAAATTTCAAGACGTATAAGGAATATAGCAGATATTATCAAGCAAATATCACCAAAATGATGAAAGTATTGCAGTAGAACGGTGGGGATCCTAAGGAAAAATCCAATCACTAACCTAATTAGTAATAAATATAGCATAACTGTAAACTAGACAGAAATCACTTACATGGGCACGTGTTTTTCCTCTGCGAGAATTGCATCATTCAATTTAATACCATACCTGTCGTACAAAAATCCAAAATTTAACTCTCTCGATTCACAAGATATTATCATTACAAAATAAATTACTAGATCGAACAAGTGAATTGTGTATACAAAATCTGAGATCTACAATACAAACACAAAACACAAGCCACTTATAACAAATCAATAGTAACGCCCAATAATCACACTGAACTTTCACAGCTACTCAGATCTGTGAAATCAAATGCCACCAAATAAAAGCAACAAGTGAAACACCATATCTCAGATGCAAAAACGCATATACATACAAATATATACAAATGCGAGCGTTCGTTAGAGTTATATAGAAACGGAGAATTTGAGTAAGAACAAGAAATCACTTGGCTAAAAATTCTTCATCCACCACAGCTGAAATATCCAAAAGTGGATTTCCCATTCCCACTAGAATTCCCTCGTACGCCATTCTTATTAGTTTTTCCGCGGATTCGAATCTAAATGCGAGTGATTATGAAGAGACAGAGAGAGTAGTGACGTTACAACTGAAATGGTGTGAATGTATGTATATATAGGTCTAATGTTTGGAGATCTGGGGGAGAGTTGGTAGGAGGTTTAAATTATCTGCAGACGTAATTTTTAATTTCCTACTACATCGTTCGCAGTAAGTGTTTGTACCTAACGACTAATATCCAAAAAGTCAAAGAAGTACAAAATATTTTCGTCACACGGTGGACATGGGTGCGATTAATCAATGTGGTGTGTGTCGCAATCATTTACCAACCCCTCCCTATATGACAAATCAGAGATTTTTCGTTTTTGTGTGGTGTGTACTCAAGTTTTTTATCGCTACAAAAAATATGGGATGGAGTCGCCAAATGAACAATTCGTGGATTACAACACTGGGTTACAATCTCTTATGAGGGAGGTGGGCCCCGTGATTAAAATAATAGTGGGCCCCACCTCTCTTGCGAGAGGTTGTAACACAAAATTGTATAATGAGCATTATTCTCGCCAAATAGAGTATCATTGCCTTCTTCATTACATATATCGTGAGATTCATTGCCTTCTTCATTACAATCTCATTATAATTTTCCTGAACAAGAAGAGAGTAATATATATAACTAGTAAGCCCCCGTTTGAGCTCCATTAAATTAAATTAAATTAAATTCATTACATTAATTTTTTTTTGTCTCTTCATTTCAATCACGCATTCATCAAATAAAATAATATTATACACAAATCTAAAACTTTTCAACCATACATTCTCCCATCAATCACTATTCTAAAAATTTTCAACCCCCAAAAATGGGGGCCAAACATGGGCTAAATATGATTTGTAATGGTAAAGCGATGAAAAATAAAAAGTTATATGTATTAATTTCTCCACGCTGTATTGTATGCCAAGTGACAATTTTGTTTTCGGCTTCTGTAATATGTGAATAAACCAATTTGATATTTAAAGATTCAAGCTTATGCTAGACTTCTACATTTTGCAAATGGTCACTCAATTAAGCTTTGGATGGTTCTTTATTTTGTATCATTCGCTCTCTTACTAATCAAATCACAAATAACCTTCGCAACGTCATAATTATGCCCATGTTTGATGTCCATAGTAGTGAACTTTTTGGAGTATCCATTGAGTAGGATGGTAGTATAAACGGACATTGAAAGCCAAAAACTATTTATATCATGTTTGGTTTAGCTAAAATTTATATGTTGACCTATGAATGATTATAATCTTAAAGTTTTGATTATAACAAATAAGTTAATTTTCTTTACTAACAATTGCATTTAAAGTGATTGTAACATTCAAAGCATCCAATGATAAATTGATCTATCGCCGTCAAAAGATCTTAAAAGACAAACGTCAAAGAAAGATCAATATCAATAACTTAAGAGTCAAACGTCAATGACAGATCAAAACGAGAGCTTAAGAGCCAAATTTCGAAGTAACATCAAATACTAGATTTCTCAGTTCAAATGTAAAAGTACAAATACTCTGATCTTTAGCAATAAATGGTAAAAGCTCAAAAATCACTTTGACAACTAAAAGTTATTTTGATTATCACTTACATAAAATATTTTGATCAAAAGTAAAATTGATTTTCAAAATAATGTTTGAACTTGTGTAGTATTTTTAAAATATCATTTACCTTAAAAACTAGTTTAAAATACCTTCAAAAGTTTACATTTGTTAAAATATTCAAATTGGATCAAACGGGGTCAAAAATGAAAAAATCGGCTGAAACAGTCGGACATGTGATCTCAACATATGGATGTATGGTTACACATCGTGTGCCATGTAGTCAACTACGTTTCTTTCTTTCTTCTTCTTTGACAATCTGCACTCCGAAAACTTATTATCTATTTTGTCACAGTTAAAGCATTTTCCTTGGCACATCTTTTTAGAAATTCAACATTTCGATCCTAGTTTGGTCCCCTTGCCACAAATGGACCAGGCTTTTTTTATAGGTCTAATAACTTTGACCATGCTCCACAACATTGGCTTAGCAACACTAGGATTGAACAATTTCTTTTCTGAACTCTTGTTATCTTCTTCAATTCGAAATCTAACAATCAATTCTTTGACGTTCATTTCCTTTCTCTTATGCTTAAAATAATTCTTGAAATCTTTCCATGCTGGAGACAAATTTTCAATAATTGCAGCCATTTGAAAAATTTTGCTCAAAATCATCCTCTCGACATGAATCTCATAAAGAATCATTTGAAATTCTTGCACTTGATTGATTACAGTTTTTGAGTCCACTATTTTATAGTCTAAGAATCTGTCGACAATGAACTTTTTAGCCCCGACATCCTCAATTTTATATTTTTGGTCCAAAGACTCCCACAAATCCTTTGCAACTTTCATTGTATTATACACGTTGTATATCGAATCTATCAGGCTACTCATGATATAGTTTCAGCACAGAAAATCCGAATGATTTCAAGCATTAAGTGCACTGATTGCTTGAACATCCTCTTCACCTTCATTGAGTTTTGGAGTAATCTCAGTGAAGAATCTCGCAAGATTCAAGGAGGTGAGATAAATAATATTTTCTGCTACGACCTCTTGACGTTCAAACCATTGATTTTCTCCATGATTAATTGAAACAGTAATGGTATGGCCAGTTATTGGAGCCACAGTTTAACTCACAACATGACTTGACATTTAGACACAATCTGAGCCACAACAGAACTGGGCCTCTGAGCCACAGCAGAGCCCGCAGCCTATCTTCAGTAGCCACAGTTTAGGTCACATTCATGTTGGTTGATTCGGTTGTCATTTCTGAAAAATCAAATGAATATAAGTTTTTGAACAACAATATATGAATCTGTTTGTTCTTACTTTCAAATCTATTTTAAGTTTGTTGCATTAATATGAAATAATAAAAATTTTATTTATTACAGTAAGAACATAAACAAGTAGAATAAGAAAACTGCGAAAATATACTAAGTGCTGAAAATACTTTAAATTTGCAAATCGAGACTTGTGTGTACACAGTTTCCTTAAAATAGATTCGCCCCTTGTTGCAGGTGCTCGAGGTTGAGTTCGAACGTTTGTCTTTCAGGATACAACGGAAGAACTAGTAGAATCTGAGCACTTCAATTTCTACTGTGGTGAAATGAATATGTGTCAGAATAGCACCATCAAGACTTAGACGAAAATGAAAATTTTTTGAGAACTGGAACTGGAAATTATGTAGAAGAGAATTGGAAATTATGCAGGAGAGTATGCAATTCTTCTGGTGTTGAATAATGGAAAACGAGATCATTTTTAAACTTGGACCCTATGAATGGTGAATAAATCTGTCCATTAACTCAATACTATAATGACGATAACAATTGGAATTTCAACAGTTTCAGAAGCTTAAAAATCAGTAGTAGAAAGCAAAAATTAGCAAAATATGGAGACTCCTAAGAGGTCAATTTTTGCTCTGCTTGATTCGACATTCGTGTACGTACTCAAGTTCAAGGTTTGATGTACAATTTTTGGTTCTTGATTTGCACTAGGGCTTGGCAAAATGTCCGAACCGAACTGAA